TAAATATATATAAAAGAATATATTCTTTGCAAAATATTGTATTTGAAGGCACTTAAATCTACGCAGAACAGTTCCTCAGCCAAAGATAAAGTACCAAACCTTCCACACAATTTAAAACCGTGCTCCTTTCCTTTTAATGGGAACCTTCCTTGACCTACTATATTGACAGAAGCAATATAGAATCTTATTTTCTTTCTTAAGTACTCTGTGCAAGCTACTCCCTCCTCTTTGCTTAGATAGACAGGTAGAAATATGTATCTAACAACTTCAAATATGCAAAAAAATACTTTCAACAGCAAAACGAATACACAACTCAAAGCATTTTTTAGACAGGTAGCAGAAGAGCTACTAGTATTTAAAAAGACATGTTTCTAAAAGCGTGATTCAAGATTGGCACTAAATGGTGTTAAGGAGGGGTATATCTGATCCAACAACATAAATACCCTGTTTTTCAATTGTGACAAAACGCACTAGGGAGATTATTCTTCTTGTAAGCTATACATAACATTTATTTTCTAAAAGCAAGCTGAGAAAACATTTGACATAATGTTCGAAGAAATTAACTTCAACAGTCTTTGCTTATGGAGGACTATTTTTGGGAGAGAGAGATTGTTAGGTTATGTGATAAAAGCTCATCTGCACACCCACAAAGGACCACAGAGAGACAATGGTTGGGGGAGAGTCCAAAGAATACCCTGCCCAGCTACTCCCAGGCCCATCAGCCCATTAAAGGCCCATCTCCTCAAGGCTAGAGGAGTACAGGGGCACAATGGCAGGCAGGAACCCAAATTACAGACTCCCAATGAATGGACACCCTGCCTGGTCCCTCCCAGGGCTGTCCCAGGAGAGCCTCAGCCCCACTGACCAGGTGTGAAACCTATCAAGATGAGTCATTGGGAGTAGCTCTCCAGATCACCTTTCAGAGGTTACTGCCAAGGGATGTGGGATACATTACAGGATGGCAAAGGAAGAGCACTTGGGGATTGCACAGAACTTATTATTGGATGTTATAGGGAGGAAGCAAAGATGGGAAAAGGGATGGATTTAGGTGATTTGGGGACGAACAAGTGTGGGAAAACAGAGTGGTAAGGGACAAAATGGGCCAGATGCATGTATATAGTTTGCTGGTCAGTACAGTTGTCTGACTATGCCCTGTGTCTAAACATCTCAATCTGTCCTATCTTCTTATTAAATTCCTTAGAAAGGTGAGGGACTCTTTATTCTGTGTGCATGGAGATGAATACATAAATACACACAGACAAAACATTTACATATGTTGCAATATACATACAAGTGCACACAGAAATTCTCCACAGAATTTCACGAATGTATTTGAATTCCTGTTTTATACAACAAACTGTATGTAGAAATAGTTTGAAAGAATAACTATCCAAACCACACAAAAGTAGTTGTAAGCATGAGGTGAGTAAGGAATTCTGTGTTACAGACTCCCAATGAATGGACACCCTGCCTGGTCCCTCCCAGGGCTGTCCCAGGAGAGCCTCAGCCCCACTGACCAGGTGTGAAACCTATCAAGATGAGTCATTGGGAGTAGCTCTCCAGATCACCTTTCAGAGGTTACTGCCAAGGGATGTGGGATACATTACAGGATGGCAAAGGAAGAGCACTTGGGGATTGCACAGAACTTATTATTGGATGTTATAGGGAGGAAGCAAAGATGGGAAAAGGGATGGATTTAGGTGATTTGGGGACGAACAAGTGTGGGAAAACAGAGTGGTAAGGGACAAAATGGGCCAGATGCATGTATATAGTTTGCTGGTCAGTACAGTTGTCTGACTATGCCCTGTGTCTAAACATCTCAATCTGTCCTATCTTCTTATTAAATTCCTTAGAAAGGTGAGGGACTCTTTATTCTGTGTGCATGGAGATGAATACATAAATACACACAGACAAAACATTTACATATGTTGCAATATACATACAAGTGCACACAGAAATTCTCCACAGAATTTCACGAATGTATTTGAATTCCTGTTTTATACAACAAACTGTATGTAGAAATAGTTTGAAAGAATAACTATCCAAACCACACAAAAGTAGTTGTAAGCATGAGGTGAGTAAGGAATTCTGTGTATTTTAAAATGGTATATACAGAAATTTACACTGAATCAAAGTTATATTTCAAAGAAATGTAGTCCACATTTCTTCAAACATGAAAATAAGTATGCATTAAAACTTTATTTTGACTTCATATATATTTTTAAAAATAAGCCGTACCTTTCTTTTCACAAATTTGTCCCAATAGTTATTTGGAAAAGACCTGAAAAACACAGATAAACAAGATTACATTTTAGACAATCATGAGAAGATGCAGTAGTTACTAAGACCTCATAAAAATTACATACTGGTTTTGTTTCTAAGAGGCTCTTTTGTGGTTGCTACCGCCAGCTATTCATTTGTGAAGTCACTGGAATGAAAGTTGCCAAATAGCATTCAGCCTACCATGTTAATGTGGCTGGGAAAGAGCGGCAGAGCCGATGCCTGCAGACAGGGTTCTAAAGCAGTTGGATCACACAGTCCCACCAGGCAGAGAGTGGGGACTTTAAATATGTTCCCAAAGGAGAGCCTTCAAGAGACACTAAAAGGACGCAAAGCACAGTTCACTCTCAAACTGACAGAAATACACAATCATCACTGTGCTTGCCAAAAGAAATTAATCACATTTTTCTTTTCTTTTATGGAACAGAAATAATTTTAAAGCAAAAACCTAGCAATGAATAAGATTAAAAAGTAATAGTAAGCATTAGTATAACAGGTGCCTGAAATATTTTGTATATCCTTGCTAGAAATAGATCCCTCACAATTTCAGACAAACTGGATGATCAACTATATAATTGTGGAGATTGAAGAACAATTCCTTGCAAAGCTATAAAGAGACAGAGTAGGTAAAAACTCACTGTGTGTTGATTACAAGTCTATCCCACTGTCCCTTAATATCATCTTCTGATGGCTGTTCAGTTATATACAGCCCATCAAATTCCAATTTCCTTGCCACTTCCTTTTCTCTCTTAAAAATAACCAGTGGAACCTGCAGTTGAAAAAAATATCAGGAATTCTTTAAAATGCAATGACATGTCTGCAAATTTTTAAGAAAAGCTGGTTGTTATGAAAAATTAAGTATGAAAACTGAACAAAGCAAAAATAGTATTTAAAAAAAATTAAAAGACTTGACAATTGCCCAGAACATTGCAAAGGTATAGATGCACAAGGACCAGGTCATTCAGAATCATATCATATAACTACAGTGTACCACACAGTTGTAAAAAGATGGCCAAACCCCTGAATATTGACATTAATTTGGGATCACACTTCTGGATTGCATTTTGATACCCAGAGGTGTTAGAGGTTGCCTTTCATTTGTTAAAGAATTCTTGAGGTTTCACAGTGGGAAGCAAAGTGGTTTCACAACACAGAGCAAAGAAAGACTGGAAGCAGTAAAAAGAAAAATCCTTAAATCACGTTCACGTTCCATATACTTGATTTGTGCTCTGTAGTTCTTTGCCAGCAGCTGAGACATCTGAGCAGTAAGGATCAGGCTTTACCTACAACTCTCTTTCATCAGCTGGATGACATTCAAAAGTACATTCTGAGAAGGCAGATGTAACTACTAGTCCCAGTGGAGTGGATTTTTCTGAGAAATCTGTTACCAACAAAAAAATAAACTCTGCTCTTTCCTGGAATTATTTCACATGTCCCCAAAATTCACTCACCCTGCATTACCCACCTTGACTGTATTACTAGTCAAGACTGGACATGAGTATACTGAAATAGTAATAACAAAAATTAGACTACTCAAGCAACATGGTGATTGCTATAGATACAATAACAATAGTTCCAATCTTATTTTCAGACAGCTAACTTAAAAAAATTTAGTGGATTTCATGCAGAGCAATCTCCAGAAGCAAACGTATCATACACAGACTTGCAGTTATGAAGATTTTTAATTTTGAATGCAGTATTATCTCCAAAGACAGAGACTGAAACCATATGTGGTCTTTTCTTCAGGGTTTCAGAATTGGAAAGAAGGGAATTCTTTATGGCAAATAATGATAATAATGTCTTTCCCTTCTAGTCAGAGAATAAATGTAGTTCAAAAAAAAAACGTGGGAAAGTAGCATAAAAAGTCATAGTGGAAAAAAAAAAGCTATGAGGTGGGAGAAGAGGACATCTCAAAAGCCAGAAATCTAAGCTTTCATGCTGCATGCCAACCAGTGAAACACGAAAACGTGTTTTAGTATTTATTAACCTGCAGAGATACTTAAGGTAGAGATGAAAATCAACCACTTAATGCAGTAGTATGATGACCATTTGCCTCAACTACAAATGCAGGTTGTGTCTCTTTAGCATAGAAAAAGTATTATCCGTTAAAAGAGGAAAAGAAAAACATCAAGGACTACATAAAAGCTTAATAAAGAAATTATAATTGTAAGTACAAATGAGCAGACTTACTGGGTCATAGCAAAGCTCCATTTAATTTAGTACTATCTTGCACTTTGACCTACAGTTTTTGCCTCGGGAAGAGTGTAAAAGTGGGGGAAGTACATCCCAGATATACTCCTCCCAGTTCCAGAGATTTATAGCATTTGGTCTTCCTAAACCAGAAGCAGCATTTTGCCAATAAAGGTGGCATCTTTATTTCTTACATCCCTAACAGAGATCTTCTGCAAGATATTCCTTTAAAAGATGCTTAAGTTCCTGCAAAACACTACCACGAGAGCGTGTATGAAAAGCAGGCATTGTCTGTAGCCACAACATGCAGTAGCAGTAGTCCAAAATGCTGCATGCTTTTCAAATGACCCAGTTGACAGACTAGTAACGCAGACACTGTCGTCTAGCTTCCTCTGGCCATGTGCATTCACGGTTTGTCTTTGACAGTCACAAGCAGCTTCTGCTACAGGTTACTGCTGTAATTGGCTGCTGACATGGTAACGGTGCAAATGCTGATCCTGTGATCCAGTGTCAGCCCAGCAAATCAGGCTCTGGCCTGTAACTTCCTGAATTCACACATCACCCAACACGCAATTTCTGTGTAGGTTACACTAACAGAACAATGTTTCTTTACATAGTCCCTCAATCTGCTTAAGTAAAGTTGTTATGACTTTGTTCCAATTTATACCACTCAATGGATAAAAAAGTTGGGAGCTAGAAGAAAAAACAACGTTCAGTTTTTCTTACCTTCAAACAGTAATACCCTATAATGCAGAAGAATGAGATGACTGTGTGTAGGATGGCCAAAATCCGCAGCGTGGGCTCCATGTAGCCGCTGCTTTCTTCCAGGACATAATGCACTGCAATGACCCTCTGGTTGTCACTTTCCAGGCTGTTCAACTTGGTACTTTCACCAGCAGATACCACAGGAACTTCCTTTTCTTCAGTCACAGCAGAGGTGGAGACCTGTTTAAATCACTTAATCTTAATATTGCAGCTGTATTCCCTTGACAGGAGCTTTGCACTACTACAACCTAAGTAGTATAACTGAAAGCAATGATACCAAGGACAATATAATTGTGAGGAAATAATTTTTTCATAAAAATGTCCACAGAGAATGCCTCACAGAGACCCTTTCATCTTGTTACACCAATCTGTGATAGTGTGCATTTTCTTTTTTTTTCCCATTCTCTGTCCATGGTGGTAAATTTGGGCCATGCTGAATTTTATCACCTCAAATTCAAGAAAGGGCATAGCCTTCTCAGAAGAAACCCAGTCAACTCCTGACATTCCCACATGTAGTCTTTATCAGCAGGGCTCTGCCAGAAACTGATTTGGGTCTGAAGACTCTAGAGTTGTATTAACGATACTAAAAGTCTTGACAAAGATGATCAGTGATATTCTAGGCAGCTGAAGATGATGTGACTTCTCCTTGCTGTACACACCCTCTCAGGGGAACATAATGGCACAAGAAAACATCTCAGCTGCCACGTATTAAAGTTGCCAGTGAAGGCTGGGCTTGGCTGAGTCACTGTACTGTGAAATGGAGCATCTGAGGCATGGGTATGCCTTTCAGTCTGCTGCCTCTGTCGCAGCACAGAACTTTGTAAACAGCTATTTGTGTAGTAGTACTTAAATATTATGTATTAATGGTTATTAATATGTTTATTAATAGTGTACTATTAATAGTTAATTAAGAGTGTACTATTACATAAATAGCTATTTGTGTATTATTACTTCACACAAACACTTTAGTTCTCACCATGTTAGATTTCTGAAGTGGCAGTATGAAGCAGGTTTTTAATCTGCTAGGCTAGGCAGTTTTACCATAATCTACAAAACCTGAATGTCTTTCAGTATACAACTTGAAAAGTAATATTTTGACAAGTTTACCTTATAGAAAAGCAGGATGAAGTTGATGGCAAAAGCAACAAACAATGCCAACATCCTCATGTTGTAAAAGTTTCGTGCAAAATAATTCTGAAAATAGAAACAGAACATAAATACACTTTGCCTAACAATGATACCACAATCATTATTAGGTTGTTGCATGGGGGTTTTTTTTGTTTGTTTCCCCTTTGGAGTTTTTTAATAGAATTATAAATAGGGAAGAAAAAAAAAAAATCAAACATTTTGAGTGATGTATTGTACAAATTCTCTCCTACTACATTTGTCCAATAATGCATAAAAGACCTTTTGTTTCACTCCATGCAGAAAGGGATGAAGGATTTCTAATTGCCTCTTACATCTTTTTCATTATCCTCTCAATACACTTAGAGACAACACAGAGACATCACAATGTAATAGTAATGTAATACAGAAAGCTCCATCTTCCATGTACCTCAATATTCTTGCATATGGCAAATTGTTACTTTTACCAAGAAACAAAAATATCAGCATGTAAGTTTATTTTAAATCTTTTTATATGCCAAAATCAATTGCATTTTTATCAGATCAGCAAAAACTTCATCTGTGACCTAAGTACCATGAGTAGAAAGCTTCTCTCACTTTATGATGCTATCAAAAGGATTGCAGAAACATACCTTTTCCCTTCCTGACAGTTCACAAACCTTTCTAGCACACGTTTTGAATGCTTTAACTCTCACATGGGAATTCCTCCATTTTTCAGCCCTAACCATAGATGACTATTACTGAATTATTAAATGAAACTATTAGAAGAAAAATTAAATGAAATTCACATGACTGCTACATGATTAGCCTAAAAAATGAATCTGAGTTCAAAAGTAAACTTAAACACCTAATTCCTTATTAAGATTGTGACTGCAGTTTTGTAGTTTTGCTATGTTACTCACGTTAGAAGTAGGCTGTCCCTACACAATTGTATCTACTAGATATATAGCAAAAGTGTATTTCTTTTTGCTTTGCATTTCACACTAGCCTCACAGAATATGTGTTGAATCTCCTAGCTAATAAAAGCATGGATTTTAAATACTTCTACAGCAAACTCAGGGATATCATATTTTACTCTCAGATACAGTTATACTATTTTAATTAGTCTTATTGTCCACAGGTTTTGAGAAGTTTCTCAAATAATAATGTGCTATTTCACAAAAAAATCTGTAATGAGTTTTAGGCTAAGCATCGTATCTTAATAAATTCTTTTTATAGGAGAGCTTGTCATTTCCCCAAGTTGTCTCTCAGGGAAAGACAAATCCTACAGGCTCACAAGCTGCTATGAAAATTCGGGACATTTTATTCACATAAAAATGCATGGCTGTTTTCCAGTGGTGGACAGGCATCTCTGAAGATGGGTTTTGGACAATAATTGTCTTCTTAAGAATTAATATCTTATCTGCTAAGTTATTTGTGTGTTTCTTTTCTCTAACATTCCAGTTAAACCTTTGTCTTTATATCCTTTTTATGGATGATGGTGGATAGAAAAATGAGGTTCATCAGATGCAAATTTGTCTTTACACTGGTAGAATATGGTGGTACACATCCCTGCCAACAGCTAAACACAGTCTAGAGAACAGCTTACAAGAAGCTTCTGTTGGTATGCAATGATTTTCTTCCAGAAAGCTGATTCCTGAACTTCTGGTTCTCCATATCTGTGAGTATGAAGTTGTCTTAATTTCTGTTTCCCTTTGTCTTCCTTGGCTTTCTCTTCTTTTTCCCCATCTTCTCCTCTTAGGACACAAATTAAGCCAAAATAATATGTTAAGTTAATAAAATTGCTAAACAAAAAATTAAAACCACACCTTGAAAGAGGCTATTGCATCTTTTCACGAGGCTCAAGTAGTCATGACTCATGCAGTTCACAGACATGAATAACAAGGAGACATATCCCTCTTCAGCCCAAAGTGCTGGCAAGGGTGACAGTCTTGTTAAATCTACAGATAACTAAACTTACTGGTTTGGCACCTTGAAGTGAGGATGCTAACTGGTAGAGGCAGGTAATCAAGAATGTGCCAACCTTATTACTTGAGGGTCTGCTTCATAACTGTGCAGCTAATACTTGCGCTGACAAATGTCTGTAAGCTGACAGCTGTATGTCTGTATGAGTGCCTATATGTCTAAGTGCTCCCCTCCAACCTCATGCACTTGAACTATCTGGTTCCCACAAAGATTGCAGAAAACTTTGGTTCTTCTTGCATTTACAAGCCAAACCTCAAGTTTTAAATTCTGCATTTCTGCCCACCTTCATAAGTACCCACTCCAGGAGGAGACAGGAATAAGAAAACTTGACAGCATTCAATGTGTGATTATCGCCATGCTGCCCGATTACAGAAAGTCATAGTTAGTGGGCTGCCTTCTCCAAACACACGATCTAAGGAACTGTGAATTATCTTAGAAGTTAATTTGACCTGACAGCATGATAGATGAAAGGATCACAGAAGTCCATTTGAAGCCAAACTAGAGTGAGAGGCAACTTATAAGTTACATTATTAATTTTTCTGTACCTATCTACAAACAGAATAACTGATGTCCAAAGCTGCTTCTCTTCCTAGAATATACTCGACAAACTTTCACTTGAAAGTTCACTTGAAAGCTTGTCTTCTGCTAGGAGTGGCTTCAGGGCAGCTAATAGTCAGCAAGAGTCTCCTTCACAAAGTTATACTGGCTGAGTTAGAAATTTGCTGTATGGATTAGGAAGAAGAGTTTTTGTTACTGGCAAGTATTTGTCATCTCAGGAGAGCAATAAGGATAGATCTTGAGACCACGGGACCCTCTTAGAATTTTGGCAGTGACATATCAGCTAAAGGAACTGTATACTTATCAGAATTGTATATGTATCAGGAACCATAAAATACAGGGATGGAGTGCCATACCTTTTACTGGTCAAAACCAAGTGCTATGTTTTGCTTTCCACTATTTTTATTCTGAACTAATCTCATTAACATTAGATTTTAACATATCCTAAAAAGATTAAAATGATCATTTATCAAATGCGAACACTTGTTCTTCATAAAGATGTGAGAGTACTCAGTAATTCATTAAAATTACATTGGAATATTAAGGTTTTGCAAAATCCAAATAACTCAAAACAGTTCATAGCAAATGGGAGGGGCAAAACAGATTCAGTCTCTACCACTGATGGATAACAAGTCTCTGGAACCCAGGTGCTCTTACAATTTTTCCAAGAGATTTTCTTCTGGCTTTCAGGCTTGCCAAGAAAAACTTAATCAAACACATTCTAAAAGAAACTAAATTTGACATTACAAAGGATGCTGCTGGAAGAGGGAAATTTATAAAATCTGAGTGATGCTATTTACACAGCATTTCCTTGCAAATGTGCACGGATGTGAAGGATGGTTAAAAAAAAATCCTAACTGTGGAACATGAATGGACACAAAATTAAAGGCAACGAAGTAAGTACAAATCAAGCTGTTTTTTCAGTGAAACAAAAGACATTTTGTAGGATCAGAGGTTAAAGTAATACATACTCTGCTTTTTCAGGTTCAGATTTTGTTTCCTCCTTCTCTTCCTTTTCATCTTCTTTCACCTGCTCCTACAGAAATTCAGATTTTAAAAAGTGTCTAAACACTATTATACAATACAGAGTTAGTTAAAAGGATACACAGAGTGCAGAATGTTAGCCTTTTTTTTTTTAAACAATTGAAACCCTGAGAGAAGATGATCCTTCAATTTACATTAATGAAGAGACATTTTAACACCGAATTAAAAGCAAACCAAAACACCATGTACTTAGAGAAGGCTGTGGGAATTCAAGTTTATGACATCAGAGAGGGTAAACACCAGTAATTATATGTGATCCCTTCAAAAATATGTCACAAAACCCAGAAAAACATAGATGCAAGTTTTGTTTCAAGACTATACTTACTATATGAAACAGGGAAACACAAAGCAGAAATGAAAGATACAGTTACCTGGATTTTTTCCTGCACCTCAGGCATTGGAGCTAAGGAGGGAGTGCTCAGTAAATCACTCAAACCAGCATTTGGATTGTGAGGGATCAATTTATACTGTCCACCTTCTCGTTTCAAATCCAAACCAAATATATCTGAGAGTAGATCACTCTCATCTGATAAAGTTCTCAGATCTGTCAAGTCCTCTGTAGGCAATGCAGCTTCTGTTGGTTTCCTCTCCCCCTCTTCTCCTTCCCCACGTACCTCATCCTGAGTGGGATCTGGCATATTGGCTAACAGTTCAGCCACTTTGATTTTCTTTGCTCCTTCTACTAGGCTTCCTCCAAGCAGCAAACTGCATATGATGCGAAAGAAGCCCCGGACGACATTACAAGCAAAATGCAGTAAGCCCATCAAAATGCTCCAATAGGAAGAAAACAAAGCCATGACCATGTCCTTCATGGTCATTTTCTTCACTTTTTTCATCTGTTTCTTTAGGCTCTTCATGCTGAGCATTTTCATAACAGTCATTAAATTATACTTGAGAGCTACTAATGCTAACTTTATAGTCATGAGAGAGAAGAAACCCATTCTAGGATCTTGTTCCTCAGGCTTATCTTTCTCATTCTCCTCTTTATTTGCTGACCTTTCATTCAGATCTGATTCAGAGATCTGGGCAGCCAGTTGCATTTCAAAGATGGTATCCTCACAGAAATTAACAAAAAGCTCCATCTTTTCTTTCTCCCCACCTTCGTTTACAACATCAAATATAAATTGTCTCTTTGACTCCTTTACCTGAGGTTTCTCCCACTGAGTCCGACTTGACTCACTTATTTCAAAATAAACTCGTTCAATGCGCTTCGCACTGCCCATGATTTCTATGCGTCCAAGGAAAGGCTGAAAGTAATTCAGCACACTCTCTGACAGTTCAAGAAAAGTTTGCAAGCGGGTATCATGGGGCATGTGTTCTGACAGGTTGGTCAGGAGAACAGCAACATTGAAACCAATGTCTTTGGCAGGTTCATGGAATCGTTTCACAAACTCCTCATAGTCCAGAGTCTCATTCTCATCTGTTTCAGCACATGACAGCAGAAACTCAGTTTCAGACTGGGTGTAATGCTTATGGCTTTCCATTGCCTTGTGAAAATCCCTCTTCGAAATTATCCCTTTACCATCAGGGTCATATTCTTTGAATGCATCAGAGGAAGTCAAATCCTTCAATTTTAAGAACATATCAAAAAACTTCAGAATCATCTCCACATTGTTGGATGATTCCACAAGCATATCGACCATCTGCTTGCCAATAGTTCCATTCACAACATTACCTAGATGTGATGACATGAAGTTAGAGATACTGATGGCAGCAAATGTTTTGGCAAAGAGAAGTGTATAATAATGACTCGTGAAATAATCAAACAGTAAGAATTACAAACTATTGGCTAACACACTCACATGAGAAAGCTAGCTGCAAAATCAGAAATCTTTTACTAATAACACTACCCTAAGACTCGGAAAAAACATGTGACTAAGTATTTGCCATTAAAGAAAGGAAGAACTAACAAGCCCTACAGAGAGACATCTGTTACATTTAATATAGTACTAAACATGAGGTAGCATACTATGAATTTTACTATAGTACAACATAGACAGAACTAGTGTCACATTAGTTAGGATGAGTAGCTCAGTAGGTTACTCATGAAGCACAGCCTACAATACTAAGAATTTACTTTGTTTCTCAGTGACCTTCTATGAGCAAAGCAGTAGCAGTAGCAATCTGCTGCATTTACTGCCCTCCCAGCTCTCTCAAGAAAATAAATGTGATAGGATACATGTAAGAAGCAAAAAGGAAAAACAGATCTTTGGATCATTTATGTGTATGTCTGGTTAGTCTAGCATTGGAAGCACTAATACAATACCATAAAGGAGTTAAAGAAATAGTACTATTTCTTGACAATGATCACATTCTCTGGGGAATCATAATTTCAGGTACTAGCTATAAAGGACCTTGAACCTAGTCACTAGACGAATCAAAGCCTGTTCTTTATGGCTAAGATCACCACCAAAATAAATGCAATATATTAAAGGTGTTAATAAAATGACTGATAAATGGTTCAGTTCCTAGAACTCAGGATTCCAACTTCAATAATAAAAAAACTTTTCACATAAGCCAAAAGAGAAGCCAAGTTCATGGAAACAAAGTAAAACTTCTGCCAGAGCTGGATTTTATACAATTCTGACATTCAGAATTAATATAAACTATATCAACTACACTATATAAATCTGCCATTCACTTTAAGACCTAACAACTCTTCTCACAATTGAGACATGAAAATTAAAAACCCAAAGGAAAATGGAGCATTATTTCTCACATGAAGAAAATCACAAAGGTAAAAACTTTGCTAGAACAACAGTGAAAGAGGATTTCAAATTAAATTTTTACTACCTTCCAGCATAGACAGCAACATGACAACCATATCCTTCTGAAGATCCATTAATTCCTTCAGTAATTCAATTTGACTGGAATCCTAAATAATGAACACAATATATATTATAAGATATCTATTGACTTCTTTGACATTTATATATGTGCATGCATATTTCACCCTATAAAAATGAGATTTAGAAATTAAGAAGCTAGTAGTGTCAAAGCTGGTAATACAGTGAAAATATATTTAATTGCTTGATTTCTTACAGTACATTTACAGGATCAAACATTTACAGTCATCTGTTTAGAAGACAGTAATTTAATAAAGACAAAGTGAAAACTGAAGGTGATGAAAAAATTTAAAGCAATAACTGTGTATGTCAAGCTCACAGATGATGCCTCTGTAATGTTTCATGTCAGCTAAAATATTGTTGCTGTTGGTGTCATCAAGTTTACAGTTATGAAGACTTGTAAAAACAACCATGGCTGCAGCACATAGAGCTCAAAGTGTAACATGATTCAAAGTGAGTGATTCCATTATAGGCCACTGAACTTTTTTTGGGAGAAAGAAAAGTTGAAATAAAATTTCAAAATATTTATTAATAACGTTCCATTAGTACATCCTTAAATAGACATGATATTGATTCTTTTAGCCATCTTTTATCTCATTCTGCTTATCAAGTTTACTATTTCGCTTGCCAATGATTTCAACCTGTAGTCTATCTGGATAGATTTATTCAACTACTTAATTTCTTCCTCAGTGATACATTGTTGCATCATGCTATTGACAAGGCATACTTGAGCATTGCTGGACTTCAGTGATTAGTACAACAAACTCAAGGTACTTTATGGCAATTTGGATCTTGGATTGAAAACAGCAAAAGTTGGAAATAATGAAGATTTCTCATTGATTTGTCTTGTAAGTTTTCATTATAGATCTTCTTACTTCAAAAGTTGCTTGTAACCTGGATGATCTTTGTTCATTTAGATTGAAAATTTACTTTCATTTTCTGCCTTCCAGAGATTTCTTAAGAAGTATTACCAATATCACCTTGTTGCTTCCTAGTACAAGACTAGAGAAGGAAAATGAAAAAACAAAAACAAAAACAAAAACCCAAACACAACAGTGATTTAGTGTTGTTCCTATTTAAATCTTGTATCAAATATTCTCCAAAAATGCTCTGGAAACTGCCAATTCAAAACAAAACCCAAATACTTTGCCTAGGCAGGCCCCTTTTACAGACAAAAGCCATATGGCAACTCCTTATAAATCCATTTAGCCACACTCTACACCTTTGAAAACTGGTATTTCAATAGAATCTGAAAAGCTTATTAATATATTCTTGCAACAAATATAAATGAACAAAAGAGCCCATGTCTATTCTGGTCTTTCCCAAGACTCTGCTGGCCGCCTAAAGGAGCTCCCAAAAGCCAAGAACAAGAAATAGATGCTATCACTATTTATCATACATTTGCAGTAGACTCTTTCTGACATCCCACAGAACAGCATGAGTAACTCCACACACTATAATGGATCTTGTGTACCATTATTTTCTAGATGCAGTAATTAAAAGATGCTGTGAAACCACTCTGGGCACAGCTGAGACTATAAACTTGTCATTACTGTAAAAACAAAGCTTGCCAATAGCTGCATCATATTTCTCAATCAACACATAGCTACCATGTGTTTGACTTGCTGTCAGTAACTACTTAGATACCACTTTCCATGTTGCTTTAGTGGTACAGGAAGAAAGCACAATAGCCACCATCGTGGCCTACCCAAACATAGACTAATTTTTCAATTCTTAAAATAACACAGATGTTCCAAAACCAGGACAGTATCTACAGGCACTTATAAATACACTTCAGTAGAAATTCAATGCAACTCTCTTGAAAAACAGGTTTCACTCTGATGCCATTTGCTGGAAGACGACCTCTATTTAGCCATAAAGAATGAGAAGCATACCTGTAGCACAAAGTATACAAATCGAAGCAATTAGGCTACTTTAAGTCATAAAGTCCCAAGAGCAGGGAGGAAAATCATTTGAGCAAGACTACTTCACTTTATGCAAAGAAAACTTACATGGATATATTTGGAGCCGAATAATAAAATCTAAAGACCTCAGAGCCTTCAGAGCTGTATTCCTTAACAACAACTAAAACCTTTACAAGCTAATGATGCTTTTCTCTGAGTATGTCAAATTATGTAAAAAACTTATTTTTTTACTACATTCAATTAAGATGTGTAATTCTTTTAAAAAGGTAAGAAGTTGAAAAATGCACTGCTTAAGGATAGGATTCTCCTCACCTAATTTTGACCCCCTAAAGAGCTGTCTATGCCAGTCCCCTACACTATTTCTATAGTTTATGAAATGAGTACTCATATACAAAAGGAATTCCCCCATTCTAAGGTGCCATTACTCTCTTTCTCTACTAAGAGTAAATAAGGCTTAGATGCAGACATGTGTTGAACTAGGGTTCAATGCAGGACACATCAATGAAGACGGGTCCTGCATAAAAGGCTCATGCAAAATTGCAGAAAACACTGTGACAAAACTTGGGTATGAAAGACAGGAACTGGCTAGTTCTTTCTGAATATCGGTGTTATGCTTCATTTGCAGCTTCATCTAATCAGCTTTGTGCCTGTGACTAGTAATCCAATTACAGACCTGCTATTCACACCCACTACAATTTTGTAATTTACTCCCTCAACTCCTGTATTTTATCACCTCTACCTCTTGTTTTTCCTCATATTTCCCCTATTGATTGTTGTTATTAATGACTCGGACATATTAACAAGTCTGTTTATCTTTTACAAAAAAGTTAGTAGTTTAAAAACAAAAAAGTAAACCAAAAAAATACCTGAGACAGCTTCATCTGCATGTGGGCAAACACATGAAGAAAACCAACTACCGCATCCCATAGCCTGCTGTGTGCCAGACTTTGCTGATTCCCAGTACATGGCCCCTATTGTTCAGGCAGCAAAAAAAAGAAAAGCAGAGTTTATTTGCAAGAAACTCAACAAAAACAGGAAGGAAGCTATACAGGCAGTGCATAGCTCCGGGCTGTCCTTTAGAAACTGCTACGAAAAATTAAACATATATAGAATTATCTATTTAATAACACCACTGACTGTAAGCAATGCCTATTCCTAATAATCATTCTGCCTCTGTTTTAGCCAAGTCCCAATTTACTAATTCAGAGTAAAATTCAAAGTATATCTGCTTTCAACTTTAAACTGCAAATGCTAAAGGGGTACAAATCTTCCAGATGATTCTTCCCTATGTAGTTCTGTAAATCAGGAATAACTTTATAGAAGGTTAATGCAAAATTGGCATAAGGGATTACAGAATTAGACTCCTGATTTCCACCCCCCCGCCCAGCCTATTCTAGCTGTTGTAGAACACAGTGCTAAAGAATATTCTTCCAAAAATTCCAACTTCTGAAAAGCAGGAATACACAATCTTTTGAAGCCTCAAAGGATAACAAATAAAATCTTTATCAGCTAACAATGCTACTTGTGATTTGCCAAATATATATACATTAAACACACATACGCACATGTATATACGCTGCCTCTACTCATATTTATTCAGTCCTATTCTATCACATTTCATCCTCATGATCTATAAAATACTATTTTTGAATTTTCATTTCATTTGAATGAAAACAATAGACACTTAATAGTCTAATGAGAGTCTCTCTAACCTGCTTATTATATGCAGAAACAAACTATAATATTGTTGACTGATGTACACGAGGAACTAAGAATTAAATTACAGTGAATTCCTAACATATCATGGAAGAACTGCTATATTGTTGTTTTGACAGAATTGATCCCAACCTCATTTATTGTGGAGTCCACCTCGAGTATAAATCTCTACAATTCTCAAATGTAATGTGTGACTTCAGTATTTCAAACACAGCATTGATGCCTTAAAAAAGCCTTATTCCTGAGAAAAAATACAATCTAATGTTCTGTTGACTAAACAGCAACTATGTTTTGCATTAACCTTAGTTTCTTAATGGAATAAAAGTGAAGACTTTAAAGTGGATAGCACTGCTGCAGTCTAGGCCAAATTAAAAAACACAAAACAAACCAAAAAAACTTCACTATCTTGCATACAACCAAAGCACGACTATTCACTAATAACTGTAAATTTGACTAAATTGCTAAGATTCCAAAAGAGTAGTGACAGCTATATATATTTTTCAAAACTTCACTTCCTACTAAAATAAATGCACCAAAATAATGTTGAAGCATAAATGCATCTATATTATATTTCTATCTATGTTATATCTAGCTACATTACATCTTAATGCCAAAAGTATCATTAATTTCCTTTCAAATCCATAAAATTCCAGTGAAACTAATTTACCTGGATATACTCCGTAAGAGTATTGAAAACTTGTTTTGCAACCTGGATGGCTTTGGAAAAATTTCGTTGACCTTGCTCATCAATAACATCCTTCCCAGAATAATACCAATAGAAATCACTAATGGATTCCTAAAAAACAGTTGTGAGAAGCACAAAGAGATTATGTAATCAAACTGCCTCTAACTGGTTATTCATCAAGATAAAAAAATATAACATTAGATAGCATTCTAGTTCTGAAACGTACTTAGTTTATAAAGGTTTTAAATGATTCTCAAGTATTACTTCAAGAATTTTAGTTTCATCTCAAGGGGATCAATAGGAAAACAAATAAACTGAAATAAATAATTAAAAAAACCCACAGCAAACCTCAAAATAATATTAAAAAAAAAGATTAGATCCACTGGTATCTGCTCTTAGAAATACAACCGCCTGCATTCTGAAAGGGAGTGCTCGGTAGTACTACCACGCTGCATGCTGTTCATTAAACAATCTCTCTTTATACTGCGTGCTTGACACCTGATCAACAGTGGGAGCAAATGTTGCTTTGTGTGCATGATACCTCTTTCCGTCTTCCCCAAAGGCGACCTTATTAAAGTTTCAACGAAGTAAGCAATGGAACGAAAATGATTGTATTGTCCCAACAACTTCTACAGAATGCATAAGGATAAAAAGCAATGTTGATAACAGTAGCAACTTAAAAAACACCAGTTTTCAAAGCCTGGAATTCTCAGACCCAATAAATAAATGGCTAAAGGGAAAACTTACCTAGGTAAATTAAAAAAACACAACAAAATATATTATCATGCACACAGTGATTTTCAATAAGATGAGAATAACAGGTAAAAATTATTTATCACAAAATATGTTTTCATGTCTTTCACGTGCTCCAATCTGGAAACAAATTCGATTTTTTTTCATTACTTTCTACTGGGTTGTGACAATTTAATGTTTTCATATTTAAAGATTAGGGAGACAGTTCAAATTAGAGGGTTGAAGGGTTTTTAATCTAGCCTTCTGCTTTTGTTTTTTCTTTTTGCTTTTTTTTTTCCTCCTTAGAAAATGATGTGCTGTTCTTATGCTTCACTCCATGCCATCCCATGACTACCCATACAGCAGCCCAGTGTTCAGACTAAATCAAAACATGGATGAAAAAGGAACTGGCTGAAGCTTAACCTGAACAATACAAAACACTTTTCAGCCACAGGGTAGTCTCAGTCAACAACTGGCTAATGGTATTCACTGATAGACTTAGCATGTATCTACCTTCTGCCTGCTTTCATTGGTTAACAGACTCCATTGCATTCTTGCATATAATGACCGAAATCAGTCTTTCACACTTTTATCACCTTTGACTCTCACAGTACAAAATAACAACTCTTAAAGAACTGTAACCAGTAGAGAATTACAGCCTTTCTCATCAACATGGGCTACAGTGACCAGAATAAATGTCATGACAAATAAATGTGCTCTTCTAATAAACCGGAACATTTTGTGATAAGGATGAAGTTTGATTTTGCTGTAAACAGAACTTTTGTGGCAGCAAATCATGTATTGCTGAAGGAAATTCCAGAGAAATTAAGAAATTTGAAGTCTCCACATACAAACTTCTGCCTTATGATCAAAATAAATGAAATAAATTTTAAAAAAAAGGTAAATATTGTATAGATGCAAGTCATTATTGTCATCTACTTAATTAGTTTATAAGTTAACCTACCTGAACTCTTAATAAGTAATCCACAGTGGAAATGATGATATTAACAGTTGTGTTGTTACCAGTCTGAGTTCTCAGGTAATTCTGAAAATCTAAAAATTCAAATAAAAGTTTAATTTAAATTTATTTAAGTGTTAAAGACTTCCAAAACTACTCCTGCAAATTAATCCAATTTAACATGATCTAGGAAAGTATAGCTTAAAGGAATGGGTATTTTTTTTAAACTCTTTTTTTTTTTTGCAACAATTTTTGTTGCCAAAATGAGTTTCAGCATTTTATTGCAGAGATCACATACAAGTGAACTTCTGAAGCCAAAAGCTTGATTATCTGTTTCATCTGTAGAACTTTACCTTGGTCTTATTTTCATCTCATTTATGACTAATTTTACATCTCTAGCACTCCATCAATATCAAGATAATTACACCCAGTATGTATTTTGTTAAGCAAAAGCAAAATTAAATTGTATAGTTATATAATTCCTGATTACAAAGTCATAAATATGTCCAATGCCTAAAAGAAATTATCTTTCTTTTTTCTTTTTCTTCCCTAATAATGACACAGAGAACACGGGGAAATGTACTTAATAATAAAAATATGCTTAATAATAAAAATATGCTTAATATCATGTATTTATTTAATTTGGTTTTGTATTTTTAAAACAGATGCTACTTCTTCAAGAAAGGTATTGTGTATGTTGTTATAATTTCACATACAATTCCAACTGACATTAGTGCCAAATAGCGCACACCAGAAAGCATACAAATGCCAAAGAACAATAAATATACCTTCCTGTTATATTTTTCCTCTGAATCTTCGCTGACTAGAAGTTATAAACCATGTACATTTTCCCATATAAATTTACCTTTCCTAGCAGGTCAAGATCCAAAACTCATCATTTTGGAAACTATTCTCTTTTCTACGAAGTTAAAGCTGATTAAAAAAAATGGCAATTTAATTCCACATAAATATTTTCCTTTCATGGCAGTCTAGCAGCTACTCCACCTTTCATAATATTTTATGAAGGTTGCCAAACCTTCAGCAATGAAGAGCTTTTCTCTTTAGTTACCATCACCTTGGCTTAGCTGACTGGCAGCCTGCCCACAAACCTGAATTATGTCCTTCACAAAGCAATTGAAGGAAGCGGAAGAGGTCACAGGTGAACTCATCATCCTGCATCACCTTTTCTCCTGTAGAAAGGCCAGATGGAAGCAGATTATCACAGGCTGCCAAGTAACACCCCATAGCCCCTGAAGAAAATCTCCATATTTAATTTTAAGAAAGAGAGAAGGGGAGAGAAAATTTATAACCACCAATCTATCTGAAGCACATATGACTTGTGCTTGGCAGATAGTTATTTGGTAAAAAAAAAAAAATTAAATTATGAAACTTAACTTTTGATTTATAAATATGGCAGCATGAGCTTGGCAACATTTTACAAATAATCCATGATTTACATTCTTGTTTGACTTTGCTGGGCATGAATGCTGCATTACATACAAAGGTTAGGATTGGATTAATTTGGTTCCCATTCATCACAAAACAAGGTACTTAGAAATACAGAAAGAGATTTAATCAAACAGTAATGAAGATCATTCCTCAAATAAACTATTAGATTTTTAAAAACTCTAAAATAACCCATGAAATTTAGAGCTGTGTGCATTCTCAAAAATCATTTAGGCTGAGATATCTGAGGATTTAGTACCTGTCTGCTGCTGACACAAAATGGATGTTGGGCATTTGTCTCCCTTGACAAAGTAAAGCAATAAATTTATAATGAACTAGAACAAATGCCTATGTGCTTTACTGAATTAGGCCCTTCAGTTCATTTTTTGCTAAATAGCTAATATCTAAATGTATAAAGCTTCAAATTATTTTCTTGATTCTTCACAGGAAACAGTATACTAAAAAGCCCTCAATTAGCACACCATTACTTCAATTACATCAATACATACAGTTAATTTTGTACACTGACATGTGAAGAGGAAAAACAACCATTCACCCAGGAAAACAATCACAACTGAGGAAAATGTAGAACAGCTAATAAAATGACACAAGGACAACAACATAGGTGTTCAAAACAATAAAGGCCACTTATTGAAAATAAGGAAATTCCCATTTAGGACTTTGGAAAAGTATTTGGAAGTGTAGGGCAACAAAAATGGAAGCCATAAAAACTTCTATTTTTTAAGAATATACATCATTTGAATATGTGGCCAAGTGCTATTTGTAGACAACAAAAGGAAAGGAGATAAAAATGTAAGCAAACTGCAAAAGAATTTGGAAGGTTTTTTTTTAATGGGGAGATATTTTAGGCTTTTATCTGAACTTCAAAATCCCATGTCTACAAAGACAATATTTTTAGTGCATGAAGAGAAGGAAACCAGAAGAGTAAATTAATTAACATTTAGAAGAAAAAAAAAGCTTTTTTCAAAAAGGTTATAGACAATAATAATTACATTAACAGTTACTGACATACTGTTATTTGGGTGGATAACTCTAATTATAATGTCTACATTTATAAATTAATATATTATTATAATTACATTATTACAGCTGAATTGTAAACAGTATTGTAAACAGTACAATTTGGAATATATATAAACACGAACATGATCAGAAGTTTAACTTTACATAAAGTCATGAACGATTACAAGTTCAAGCTAATGGACTTACCAATCCACAGCCTGTGAATTTTAAAGTGAGAAGCTTCAGTACAACGGTAGGTTTAGGAAGCAAAAGCATTTTGAAAACGGATATGGATATTTTAAAAGTACAGAA